TGGCTATTTTTATGCCAATACCTTGAAAGAAATTTAAAATTTACTTTTTTTTTTTTAAATTAAGACAGGGTCTCACTCTGTTGCCTGGGCTAGAGTGCAGTGGTGTCGTCAGCGCTCACTGTAATCTCAAACTCCTAGGCTCAAGCAATCCTCCTGTCTCAGCCTCCTTAGTAGCTAGGACAATAGGTGCACACAACCATGCCTGGCTAATTTTTAAAAATTTTTTTGTAGAGATGAGGTCTCACTGTGTTGTTGCTCAGTTTGGTCTTGAACTCCTGGGCTCAAGCAAACCTCCTGCCTCAGTCTCCCAAAGTGCTGGGATTATAGGTGTGAGCCAATGTGCCCAGCTCAAGCTCAAATTTGCTTTTTTACATCTGGGTCTTTTTCTAGGTTAAAAGTTCTACATGCAAACTAAAATTAAGTACGGTATCACTATAGAGGAGTCTACTTTTTGAAATAATATATTTTCTGTAGAAACTATTAGGCAATGTGTATTTTCCCATAGAAACATGTTGCACTTAGAAATCTTGTTCTTGAGAAGGACTTGTCATTGAATTAATAATAGATTTGTTTCGATGATATATCTTAAAAGCAAATATGTAACAACTAAAAATATTCTGTGTAATCCATTTGCATAGTAAAATCATCTGCAGAGCCTCATGAAATGGACATAATTATGCTTATATATTGATTATACAGAGGGATCCTAAATACTGTTAAGAGACATCCAGCTTATAAATACCATACATATTTTTTGTAGGTTAGACTTGCATTAGCTTAAAACCAAACATTTAATAATTTGCCTTTTTTTAGAATTTAGAAAGGCATCTTGAGAAAGTAGTGATTAGATTGGTCTTATATCTCTTTCACAAGTAGGCAAGGAATATTTTGTATGTTGTAAACAAAAAAACATTTTCCCCCCTCTTGATAAATTTCCCTTTCTTTTAGGACATTCACCACCATTCATTTAATTATAATTTATGAATTAAATTTGGCCAGGCGCGGTGGCTCACGCCTGTAATCCTAGCACTCTGGGAGGCTGAGGCGGGGGGATTGCTCCAGGTCAGGAGTTTGAAACCAGCCTGAACAAGACCCCGTCTCTATTAAAAATAGAAAGAAGTTAATTGACCAACTAAAATATATATATACAAAAAATTAGCTGGGCATGGCAGCGCATGCCTGTAGTCCCAGCTACTTGGGAGGCTGAGGTAGGAGGACTGCTTGAGCCCAGGAGTTTGAGGTTGCTGTGAGCTAGGCTGACACCACGGCACTCACTCTAGCCTGGGCACAAAGTGAGACTCTGTCTCAAAAATAAATTAAAAAAAAATAATATATATATATATATATAATTAAATTTGAGTCCATTCTTTTAAGAAGGGACCACTGTACTATCTAAGCATGGAAAATTTCCCCAAGGCTTGCTTTCATCATGGATTGGTGTTTTGAGAGGGTTTGAAAAATAAGAATCCCTAGAATTAAGCCCTCCTGCTCATTTTCCTTGCTCTTCCTTAATATAATACCTAGTCAATATTAAGAAGAGCACTAAAGAAGCCACAGAGGGCATCTTGGGGTGTTGTGAGCCTCTTCCTCCTTCCAAGCTGTCCAGTACTCTGATGTAGGAACCTTTGAGGATTTGAGCACAGATGTTAAATATGAGAGTCTGGAAAGATGGTAGCCGTAGTGGAAAAGTGGGGCTTTACATGATCAACTCCAGGGCCTCAATATTCTGAAAGTTATAATAACCTATCCAGTCCTGACTATGATGAGTTCAAATCATTTAGCAAGTGAAGTTGAAACCTATTTCTTTGATAACCACAGTTTTTCAGTATACTTAAAAATAAGGATTAACTCCGTCAGTGAGTTTTGAGACAGTTTTACCAACAATCATTTTTTACTCTCATCCTGTATTTACTGACCACCTACTATATGTGTCATATACTATCCTAGGCACTGGGGATACAGTGGTGAATAAAATAGACAAAAATCTCTACTCTCATGGAGCTTGCATTCTAAATAATACTGTTAAGTTATAATCTGATACTGTTTACATTGATTTATCAACCTTCTGCTGGTAAGATACTCACTTCTGTTTTAAAAGGTCTAAATTGTAGCTCTTAGGAAAGGTAACAAATGGCTGTCTTGGCCTACAAAGGCAAGATTTTCTAAGGGTGACTGGAGTGCAACTACACCTGGTCCTACTAAAGTAAATAGCAGCCTCAAGTGGAAATACAAAAACTCCTCCTTACCAGCATCTACTTACACTGATAACATGAATTAATAATGAATAAAAAAGTTGTGGATTTTTTTTTTGTTTGTTTCTTGTTTTGAGCCAGAGTCTTGCTTTGTTGTCCAGGCTAGAGTGCCGTGGTATCAGCCTAGCTCACTGCAACCTCAAACTCCTGGGCTCAAGTGATCCTCCTGCCTCAGCCTCCTGAGTAGCTGGGACTACAGGCATGCACCACCACACCTGGCTAATTGAATGAAAAAGTTTAAAGAAAACTATTTCCTAAAAATTATCACCAAAGAATATTTATGTTTACAGATACCAGCTCTGTATTCTTTGTTATAGAAAGTATCCCTAAAAACCTAGATAAACACTTCCTTCCCCATTATGCAGACTAATCTTGAGTTTTGATCAAGCTGACCACACATATAAGTAGTGAACATGTTTTTTAAAAACAAATTTCGAAAGATCCTTATTCTTAAAAATATTGCTCAAACCTGATATTTAAAGTATAACAAGTATTGATATTGTTTTCTATTCTATGAAGTTATGGAGCCCTTTGGGAAGACTGTATCTGTAAGATAGGTAAGCTGTTTGTTAACTGTCCTCACAGGAATGCTGAATTAACAATTGAAAGTCTATAAAGTTTTATTTCTTAGTTGAAAGATGTAGTGAGTTTTACTACAATAGATTAAGATACAATTATTGAAGAAGACAGAGTGATAGTACCTAACTTAATAATAGGCACTCCAGTTTTTAAAATTGAAGTGGATTTCCATAGAATGAGTAGTCCAGGCATGAAGTTTTCTCACTCTATAGTTCATATCCTTGGAATAAATTAAGCATTTATTGGAGTCCTAAGACCTTTTTTCAGTAAGGACTAATATATTCTGCAATTCTAATTCATTACAGAAAAAAGAAGAATTCGTAAAAATTTCACCAAAGAAGAACTGAATTACCTTTTCAGTGGAGTTAAGAAAATGGGAAATCACTGGAATTCAATTTTGTGGTCTTTTCCCTTTCAGCAAGGACGAATGGCTGTGGACCTTGCTCATAAATACCACAATCTGACCAAAGGCTCCAAGTGTGCAGCTCCTTGATAGGAAGAACACTTGTCAGTTTTTAGTTTGGACGCTTAAAATACAGTGCCTTAAAAGATACAAAATTTAAAATAGTCTTCTAAACTTTCATGAAACACAGGGAGTGTGGAAATGGGGATACAGTTTTAATTAAACAGTTTTTGTGGTGCTGAAACTCATTCAATTATTGTAGTAATTTATAAAGCAAATATACCTTTAATGTGCAGATTAATAAGATAAAATTCCTTCATAAATCAAATATTTGTTTAGGAATATGCTTTTATTTTTCCTTAAGCTCAAAGAATATAGCTTAGAGAAAAAAATATCAGCCTTTAAACATTACAATGAATACTACAATGGGACATTGGATTTTAATATTATTACCCAGTGCCAAAGACCCTCCCTTCCAGATCTCAGAAAGGTAGACTAGTTTCCCAATCTGTTCAGCTGAGATTCCTCAGCTAACACAACTAATCAATGTTTGGCATTTTGTTAATGAAAATGTTTACTCTTGTAAAAGCTAATTATGCAGTTGCTTTGAATACTTATATATTCTATGGTCACGTTCACTTCTTTTTGGTATTTTTTTTTAATTTTTTTTTTTTCCATTTTCAGTTGGCCAATTAACTTTTTTTTATTTTTTTATTTTTAGTAGAGACGGGGTCTCGCTCTTGCTCAGGCTGGTCTTGAACTTCTGAGCTCCAATGATCCACCCGCCTCAGCCTCCCAGAGAGCTAGGATTACATGCGTGAGCCACCGTGCCCAGCCTTTTTTGGTATATTTTTATTTGTGTTAGCTTTTTAAAAGTGTCTACTACTTACCCCTCTTCTCATTCTAAATCTTTTTTATTTTTAACTTTTTTTTTAAGAGTCAGGGTCTCTGTTACCCCCACTGGTGTGCAGTGGCCTAATCATAACTCACTGTAACCTCAAAGTCCTGGGCTCAAGCAATCCTCCCACCTCAGCATCTTGAGTAGCTGGAACTGCAGGCACAGGGAACCTCACCTGGCTAATTTTTTATACTTTTTTTCTTTCTTTCTTCTTTTTTGACACAAAGTCTCACTTTTGTCACCCTGGATAGAGTACAGTGGTGGCATCATAGGTCACTACAACCTGCAACTGCTGGGCTCAAGTGGTCTTCCTGTCTCAGCATCCCAAGTAGCTGGGACTACAGGTGATCACCACCATGCCTGGCTAATTTTTCTATTTTTAGTAGAGATGGGGTCTCACTCTTGCTCAAGCTGGTCTCGAACTCCTGACCTCAAACAATCCTCCTGCCTCGGCTCCCGGTGTGCTAAGATTACAGATGTGCCTGGCCTAACTTTTTTTTGAGACAGAGTCTCATTCTGTTACCCAGGCAAGAGTGCCATGGTGTCAGCCTGGCTCACAGCAACCTCAAACTCCTGGGCTCAAGCAATCCTTCTGCCTCAGCCTCCCAAGTGGCTGGGACTACAGGCATGTGCCACCATGCCCGGCTAATATTTTCTATATATTTTTAGTTGGCCAATTAATTTCTTTCTATTTTTAGTAGAGATGGAGTCTTGCTCAGGCTGGTTTCGAACTCCTGACCTTGAGTGATCCTCCCACCTTGGCCTCCTAGAGTGCTAGGATTACAGGCGTGAGCTACCACACCTGGCCTGACCTAACTTTTTATTTTTTAGTAGACACATGTGTCTCACTATGTTGCCCAGGCTGGTCTTGAAGTAATCCTCTGGCCTTGGCCTCCCAAAGGGCTGAGATTACAGGCATGAACTGGCCCTTGTATGTCTTTTATCCTTCATGCTTATGAGCCCTAGTTACTTCATGTTGCAGCAGAACAGTGTCATGACCCCATATAACTTTAGTCACTGAATGCTGGACACCTCTTTGTAAAATGTGTCCAAAGAGAAATGTGACCCTAAGAAATGCAGCCTGACTGGCAGAGTAGGGAGTCAGCTGCTTTACTAGGCCCAGTGAGGTTTTATGGACGCTAAGGTGTTTCTCAGCATTCTATATGACTAACTTTCAGATTATAGTTAATATAGTTATGACTCTTAGATTATAATTTTTATTATTTTCAAATGTTTCCTGTTCTTATGCTTTTTTTTGTTAAACCCTTCCATAGGACTTTAGTAGTAGTCCCTGTTAAATTTCATCTTGTTAGATATAGTCTGTGTTCAGTTTGTCATCCAATATATTAGGCATCCCTTCCGGTTTCAGGTCATCCACAGCTTCTATGAGTGTGCTGCTATATTCTCATCCAAGTCACTGATGGCACCCTGAATTGGCTGGCCAGGGCAGTAGGTAGGGGCAGGCCCTTAGTAGCCATCTCTAGTGGTCCTTGTTCCTCATCAGCTCCCTCTGGGCCTGGTCTTTAACAAGCCTCAGTGCTATCATCCAGCCTACGTTTCACTTTCTAATCTATGCTGTGAATTGTCAAATGCCTTGTTGAAATCTGCATTTGCTATCTCTGCAGCAGCATCCTATCTGGCATTCCTGTAAAAAAAAGGAAAATACTGTATAAATTTGGTGCTATCTTTTCCTTTTCCAACTGGTCACATTAGAGAATGTCACCTAGTGCTGATTGAGCTCATTGGCCTGTAGTTTTCAACTTCATCTTCTGTCCTGTGAAAATTTAGTACTGCTTGCCTGTCTATGACTTCCAGTACTTTGCTCTTCCCAAACTTTCAGGGGTGTAACTTTTTTTGTTTTTCTTTTTTTTTTGAGACAGAGCCTCACTCTGTTGCCCAGGCTAGAGTGCTGTGGCGTCAGCCTAGCTCACAGCAACATCAAACTCCTGGGCTCAAGCAATCCTGCTGTCTCAGCCTCCCAAGTAGCTGGGACTACAGGCATGTGCCACCATGCCCGGCTAATTTTTTCTATATATATTAGTTGGCCAATTAATTTCTTTCTAATTATAGTAGAGACGGGGTCTCGCTCTTGCTCAGGCTGGTTTTGAACTCCTGACCTTGAGCAATCTGCCCGCCTCGGCCTCCCAGAGTGCTAGGATTATAGGTGTGAGCCACCGCACCCAGCCAGGGGTGTAACTTTTAATGGGTTTTCACTCCTACTGTCTTGCTTAAACCTTACATCCAGGTTGGCTGATGATATCCCTATTTGCTGGATTCTGTAATTCATGCTGCCAAATTTTTGGCATAGCCAGGATCACAATCCTACTTATCTGCAGGCCACTTAGGTGGTTGCTTTCCTGCTATATCTCACTTCCGTGTGATATTTAGAAATGCCTTGTAAGCCTGCTTCCCTAGAAAATAGCAAGATCCCTCAGAGGCCAAATCTAAAGTTAAGCTTGACAGGTGGAATGTATTTTTTTCTTTCCTCTTCAAAAAACTTGTTAGTAAGGCAAAGCCAAGTGTATTGTTCACTGCGGTAAAGATCACTACAGTCTTTAGTCTATGGAGGAGGAGGTGAAAAGCAGGATATTTATGAAGATTTGGGGGTTTTACTTAAGGCCAGTCTTGCAATGCAGGGCTTGATTAGGGTTAGGCGCATTTCATGATATAATAGTTTAAGACTGGTGACTAAGATTGGAAGTACAGGGCAGGGTGTAGTGACTCATGCCTGTAATCCCAGCGCTTTGGGAGGCCAGGGCAGGAGGATCGTTTGAGCCCAGGAGTTCAAGACTAGCCTGGGCACCATTGACCCCATCCCTTAAAAGAAAAAAAATTAGCTGGGCATGGTGGTGCGTGTCTGCAGTCCCAGCTACTAGGGGTGTAAGGAGGGTGGGTCAGACAGGAGGATCGCTTGACCCCAGGAATTTGAGGTTGGAGCAAGCTATGATTGTGCCACCGCACTTTAGCCAGGGCAATAGTGAGACTGTCTCCAAAAAAAGAAAAACCGAAGCACAGAATGACAGAATGTTACCTTCTAGCCTTGGATCATTGGGCGGGTTTCTTAAAGCTTCAGGTGCCTCATCTGTAAAGGGTTAGATAAAATTCAGTGAGATAATGTGTGACTCTGGCATCAGTATCGTTTCAAACGCTACGCTTTCCGCATCAGTTCATCTGGCTGCCTGGCCCTCTACCGCGCCAGGGGAGCGGCTCACCGGGAGCCGCGGGATGCTGAGCTGCGCTGCGCCCATCGGCCGGCAGAGGCCGCCAGTGCGCCATCGGTCTGGGCGGTGCCCGCCTCCTCACGCATGGCTGCCCAGGCTGCCGCCTGACCGCCGCCCGCCACCTTCGCGACCTATGGGAGCTCGTGGACATCGCCAGCGTGGAAAAGACTGGTTGAACGCCACGGCCCCTGAAGCGCGGGCGGTGTGCAGCGGGCGTCGCGCTGCGGGGCACGGCGGGTGGCGGGCGGCCCGACCGGGGTCCTCGCGGGTCCTCGGCGGGCCCGGGGGAGGGCCCTCTTTGTGGCTGCAGTTGGCAAGATGGCGCCGGTGGGGGTGGAGAAGAAGCTGCTGCTGGGCCCCAACGGGCCCGCTGTGGCGGCCGCTGGCGACCTGACCAGTGAGGAAGAGGAGGGCCAGAGCCTATGGTGAGGCCGCGGGCGGGCGGCCGGGCCGGGGCGGGGAGGGCACAGTCGGGAGGAACCGGCCGCGCTGGGTCGGACCGTCGGACCGACTGGCCGTCGCTGGCCGGGCCATCCCAGGCCGGCCCCGGGGCTGACCGCCCTTGCCATTGTCGCGCAGGTCCTCGATCCTGAGCGAAGTGTCCACCCGCGCCAGGTCCAAGCTGCCGTCCGGCAAGAACATCCTGGTCTTCGGTGAGCGCCAGCGGCGGGGCGTTGCCCCAGGGCGCCGGGGTGGGCGAGGCGGGCACCCCTCCCAGAGGTCCCAGCGTTCCCCTTTCCTGCCGCCTGCCCGCAACCTGCTCGGCCTGGGAGGGACCTGTAGACCCTGGCTTGGCAGCCTGAGGTTGGAGTGGCTGTCGGCACATTCCTTCAGTCAGTTGGCCGCGACATCACCCTTGCTGCCAACGTCCCGGACTCCCTGAGCCTATAGCTTCAACAGTTACCAAATTGAGGTCGCTGAGAGGGAAGTGAATAGATGAGAAAGTGGACAAGACAGGAGAATGTGCTGATCTGGGCTCGGAGCGGTGGGGAGATGCCATGGGAGCCTTCCTTGATCCTCGTGAGCTTTGCACAGTCGGAGGTTTCAGCGACTTTGCAGAAGAACGCCAGGCCTGGGAGTCAGCATCAGGGACTTTTCCTGCATTACTCTAACCCTTAATGCTTGGCTACCTGAGTTGGGTCTCTTAATGTCTCTGGCCTCCGTTTCCTCTCATACAAGGGAGGGAATTTGTGTACATGCACACAGCAAACCATTTGTTGAGTGGGACCTGTGGGCTGGGCACTGGGATAGCACAGACGCTACACAAGAATCTCAGTTTAGTGGGGGGCAGAGTGGTGGTGATTGCACTACCCCATGCAGGGCATGGGCAGATTACTGTGGGAGCATCACACTGCTTGGAGCTGTTGAAAGAGGGTCATTGATGGGTTGGGTGTTTTGAAGTGTAAGTGTTAACATGCAAGGGCACAGACAGTGTGGGGTTTGAAAACTGCTAGAAGCTCCTTGTGATCGGTAAGTTGGGGGCAGATTGTGAAAGGCTAAGGAGTTAATGCTTTTTTCTCGAAGGCTTCTGATTCTCAAGGGCCTTTTGTCTCCCCTCCATCCCCCAATCCTTGTGGGAATCGCTGCCTTGGGGTTTTCCTCCTGTTTCTGGAGAGAGTATATGATCTTTCTCAGGTGATGACCTTCGTGGTAGGTAATAGAGGACCCTTAGAGAGGGGCAAGAAGTGGGGGATCAGTTCACCAGATCCGTGTTTTATTTATTTATTTTTATTTTAATTTTTTTTGAGACAGAGGCTCGCTTTGTTGCCCAGGCTAGAGTGAGTGCCTTGGTGTCAACCTAGCTCACAGCAACCTCAAACTCTGGGCTCAAGCAATCCTAGCACCCTGGGAGGCCGAGGCAGGAGGATCATTCAAGGGCAGGAGTTCGAAACCAGCCTGAACAAGAGCAACACCCCATCTCTACTAAAAATAGAAAGAAATTAATTGGCCAACTAAAAATATATAGAAAAAATTAGCTGGGATGGTGGCGCATGCCTGTAGTCCCAGTTACTCGGGAGGCTGAGGCAGAAGGATTGCTTGAGCCCAGGAGTTTGAGGTTGCTGTGAGCTAGGCTGACACCACAGCACTCTAGCCTGGGCAACAGAGTGAGACTCTGTCTCAAAAAAAAAAAACCGAGCAGACACTGATGTCAGGCTGACAGGTGCTCACCCTGGTCCAGATGGGATGCGGAGAACCTGAGTAAGGTAGTGACATTGGGAGTGGAGAGGAGGTCTTTGCTCTGTGGACTGCCTTTCAGTTCTCATGTTCTGTAATTTCATATTATTAAATGCCAGGAGTATCTAGTGATATTTGTTGGTAGTGGTTCTCCTTGATGTTTAGGGATTTGGTGGGGCAATGTTAGTTGGGTGGAGGGAGGTGAGGAAGCACTTGATAATTACTGAGATAATTACTGATAATATAGTTAAGAATTTTGCTTAGGTCTGTAATTATTTCCTTCAGTCTCCCAGCCTTCAGAATGCTATATGAAGGAGATGTACTAAAGTAAAAAATGAATAACTTCCATTCTTTATGATTGTGGGGCAGGATCAGACTTTTTTAGTTCATAGTTCCTGGACTTTGAGATTAGTTGTACTTCTTACTTTTCTTGTGGTAAAAGTTTATTTTGTGAGAAACTAACCCCATCTTTGGCTTTCGCTTTTCCAAATGTGTGTCATATAAATTGTAAATAGGGCCAGTGGACCAGCTTGTTCCTTCCCTTATGAAGTAAGGATAACTGCAGTAGAATGTCATTTTATTTATTTATTTATTTATTTATTTATTTATTTATTTATTTATTTATTTATTTATTTATATAGGCATAGTCCATTCTGTTATCCTGGGTAGTATACAGTGGCATCATTGTAGCTCACTGCAACCTCAAACTCCTGGGTTCAAGTGATCCTCCTGCCTCAGCCTCCTGAGTAGCTGGCACTATAGGCATGTACCACGAAGCCTGGCTAATTTTGCTGTTGTTAGTAGAGATGGGGTCTCATTCTTGTTCAGGCTGGTCTCAAACTGCTGAGCTCAAGCAGTCCTCCTGCCTCAGCCTTCCAGAGTGGTGGGATTATAGGCATGAGCCAGCCTAGAATGTCATCTTAGATCTTGGAATTTGCTGCCTTCACCACCCCACTGCCTCCCCACACCCTCAACCACTCTTCCAGCAAGGTCTGCTGTGTTGATGAAAGCAGGTGAGACCTCAGCAGCAGGGTTTGCATGAAATTTTTAGTTGTTCCTTGTCATTGCAAATGACTGCCTAACCTAACCCAGAATAAACAATGCACCTTTGTCTTGCTAACATCATTTGTAGGTGAAGATGGTTCTGGTAAAACAACCCTCATGACTAAACTACAAGGAGCTGAGCATGGCAAAAAAGGAAGAGGCCTCGAGTATCTCTACCTCAGTGTCCATGATGAAGACCGAGATGGTGAGTGAGACATGGATCTATGTTGACAAGGGGACAGACATGTACAGGACTCTGATTCCTTGCTGCAGCTCCTGCAACATGACGAGGCATTCTAAGTTTTCTGTTTAATTCTAAGAGAATTAGTCACAGGGAATAGATGAAGCATATGTCTTTTGCAAGACTTCACCCACTTTCCTTTATGGAGTATGTTAGCAAAAATGGGGCATTCAACTGTTAGCAGCTGTTCTCACTAGCCTGTACTTAAATGGAATACCGAAGGTAAAGTTTCACATAAACTTAAAGGTGATGAGAAAGATTTTTTAAAAGATGGGGCCTTGCTATGTTGCCTAGGCTGATCTTGAGTTCCTGGGCTCCGCTGATCTTCCTGCCTTAGCCTGCTGAGTAACTGGTATTAGAGGCCCAGTAAGAAAGATTTTTATAAGCTCTGTTTTCTTTATTATTATTATTTTTTATTTTAGCATATTATGGGGATACAAGTGTTAAGGTTACTTATATTGCCCATGCCCCCCTAAGCTCTGTTTTCCATGAAAGAAATGCTTGGCAGACTGATCTGGGTACCATTGTTGCTATGCCTGATTCTAGTGGAGAATCTGAAGTTGGTGTGTTTCAGAGTGTGATGACAATTTAACATGTTAGCAGGAGAGTTTTCTGAGTCTCTTTGGACAATTTAGAAATGCTAATTTCCTGTGTTTCTTCTGGTGGAGAGAATAGAGGCTCAGAGGTAAAAATGTTCTTTAATTCCTCATTTCTAAAATATGGATAATAATAGTTTCTACCCAGTTAGGATGATTAAAAGAACTTGGTAGCTACGTGCAGTGCTGTGTACATATAATCCCAGCTACTCAAGGAGGCTGAGGTGGGAGGATTGCTTAATTCCAGGAATTGGAGACCAGCCTGGGCAATATGTAGGGAGACCCCATCTCAAAAAAAAAAAAAAAAAAAGAAAAAAAGAAAACATGGTAAACACTCTTTTTAAGGATTACATATAATTTAAAACTTTTCATAATGGTGACTTGGATTGGAGTACAAGTTTTGTTAACAGCTACTCAGTAATGCCTCCTTTAATAATCTTTTAGGTTTTATGTTAGATTTTTTTGAATGACCAAAATAAATAATTATTGGTACCTAGGTCTTTTTTTATTTGTAGATAAGTTATCTTTATAGGCTGAAGATGAAATACATTTGTTAAATTACTTTCTTTATATATTCGCCTTTATTCACTTAAGCAGTAAAGATCATGATGATGATTATATAAAGGAGGCCAATCCTGTTGCGTCTGGTCCCTCATTTCCTTATTGCTAAAATGAAGATGGTGGACTAAGGTCTTTTCCAGCACTTAATTCTGCCATCCAAGAGCTATTTAGTAGAGAGCAAGGGTAAGGGTGTCTTGTTAAAGCTTGGATACTGGCTGGGTACAGTGGCTTATGCCTGTAATCCTACCACTTTGGGAGGCCAAGGCAAGAGGATTACTTGAGCTCAGGAGTTTGAGACCAGGCTGAGCAAGAGCGAGACCCTATTTTTAAGGGAAAAAAAAAAAAACGTAAAAAATGTAAGATTCTGAAGCCCAGCATCTCTAAATCCTAGAATGCCTAGTCAGTCCTGACACCTGTAATGACAAGAATTTCTTCCTCAAACTTTAAAAAAAAAAGCTTGAAAACTTACACTGTATTTGAGCACTGTTAATTGAGCAGTCATCTTAGAACCCTCAGGATTTTATTCCTGCTCCCCTCCCTTTGCTTCCTTTGTCATGCTGAACTTCCCTGAAGGATGTGAAAGTGAGGGCAGGAGGTAGACCCAGTGCTAAGGGCTCTGTCTTCTGTAAGGACGGGGATATTCAGGTGTCCATCTAGGCCCACTGAGTCTGTGCATATAGGCTGCTGAGCCGGGCCTAGAGGACCTCACAGGTCTGTGTCTTATGCTTCCTGTCTTTGTTGGGCATCAAGGTTATTGTGGAAAGAGCTTGGGCTTCGGAGCCAGACAGAACTGGTTCAGAATGCCATTTCTGTCATCGGTGGTTTGTGATCTTGGGTAACTGATTTAACCGTTCTGCGCTTGAGTTTCCTCATTTGTAGAATGGGCTAGCAGTGCCTGTATTGCAGGTTGCCAGAATGAGAGTGTGTGTCAGGTGTAACGGTGCTTGAGACACAGTGATAGCTCTAGTGTTTTTTTTCTTGGTTCTTTTGAAAGTACCAAACATGGTTAGATAATTCAGTGACAC